AAGAGGCACCTCCACGCTCATTCACATAGCTTTTGTCAAGACGGTTCAGTTCTTTGCCAAAGTTCTTGCTCATGACATGGTTTTCCTCAGAGTGAGGGAGAGACAGAGAGAAAGAAACTAAGACAGAAGCCATGGTGTCTTTTTAACACGATCTCAGAAGGGACATCCCATTACTTCTACTGTATTCTATTGGTTGCACAGACCAGCTCTGGCACAATGTATAAGGATGTGAGTAGCAGGAGGGAGGGATCCTTGAAGGCCATCTTGGATTCTATCACAGCCCATCCTCATCCCTTCCCAAGGGCCACAAAAATCTCATCCCATTACAGCAGTGATTCAAATCCCAGAATCCCATCATCTAAGTCTAGCCTGGGTACAGATTAGGTTTCCAAGATGTCACTCCTTAAGTACAGTTCCTTTTGATTTGAAGGCTTTTTTTTAAATATAAAATTTATTGTCAAATTGGTTTTCATACAGCATCTAGTGCTCATCCCAACAGGTGCCTTCCTCAATACCCGTCACCCACCCTCCCCTCCCTCCCCCCATCAACCCCCAGATTGTTCTCAGTTTTTAAGAGTCTCTTAAAAACTGATTTGAAGGCTTTGAAGAGACAAGTTATCTGTATCTGGCTGTACATGGCCAATATACAATAGTGGGAGAGGACCGGATAACCACTATACATATTCATGCTCAAAAGGGAAGAAAGTGAGAGAAATAAAGGGGTCAGTGATCCATAGAAATTCTGAAATCCAGCTGATCAAATGTCAGAAGTTTTTTGTTTTTTTTTTTTAATTAAGATTCAGTCCTACCCACGTCCAGCTGTTTTAATTCTCCACAGCCCTTGGTTTTTTCCACTGAGGCATCCTTTCCATTATCATGAAAGGTCCGCATCTTTGTGACTGAGTAGTTTTCTCAGCCTGCTCTCAGCTTGTAGAAGTTTCATGGCCCAAAGGCTCTATTCATTTTGTGCTATCTCTGTACCTTTCAGCACCAACTGAAAAATGTGACTGATATAATTCTCTTAGAAACTTTATACATCTTCTGTGAATCTTTTTTGGGGTTCAGTCCATTAGACAAAAAAATCCATATCCACAAATCTCTTTGAGATAGGCCTTCGGGGTGTGGAGAAGGCTAAAGAAGGATGCCTTTAAAAGCACCCTAGAAGCCTACAGTTGGACTGAAAAGATCTGTGAGGCATACCCTTAATCTCTTCAGAGGGCCTTTTGCCCTACTGAAGACCCATCTTTGATCTTTCCCAGTTCTTAAAAGGATTTCACTTATATCTTGGGCTTTATCTTTCGACCGTGCATTCCTGAGAGTGCTCTGGATTATATCTTTGCTCTGAAGCCATCTTCTATGTTTCTTTTGGGTAGGATTAGGTCTTCCAAAAATATATATTGAAGCACTAATCCCCAGTATCTGTGAATGACACCTTATTTGGAAATAGGGTCTTTGCAAGTTAAGATGAGGTCATCCTTGCAGTAGGGTCGGCCTTAGTCCATATGACTCGGTGTCCCCATAAGAAGAAAAGAAGATATAGACACACAGACTGAAGACGGCCACACGGTGACAGAAGCAGAGATTGGAGTGATGCGGAGACAAGCCAAGGAACACCAGTTGCCAGGAACCACCCCTGTGGTACTTTGTCACGGCAGCCACAAGAAACGAATTACAATATGGTGAGCCTGGGAATCTTCAAAACCACGGCAAGTCTTCGTTCCTTCCTGTTAAACACTGTTTCCTTCAGCTTCTCTCTGTCTTTTGGCGTTGTACTCTAAGCAGCCAGAAGAAAGCAGGCCCTGTGGACACTTTCAGGCGCTGAGGTATGTTTTCTACTTTCTGTATCACTACAGACACAACAGTGTTGCTTAAGTTCTGCCGCTCCATAGCAAGAATCCCCTTTCCTCCAGTTTCCAATAATATTTACTCACTTTCCTGTAAGCCCTCACCCACAGCTTTATCAAAGCCCAGACGGCTTCTATGAACAATTTCTTCAAGGCATTTTAGGCTTCTATTGAGCTCTTCTTCTCTAAGACTCTTCTCTAAGCTCACTCCTGGTTCCAAGACCACACCCACATTTTGAGTTACAAGCTAGGTTACATCATCACCTAGCTTGAGGTGCCCAAATCTGTGTGAGGTATATCTATTACTCTGTAACACACTGCCCCCAGATTTAACAGATTAAGACAAACGCTCATTATTCACAGAGTTTCTGGAAGTCAGGAATGCAGAAGCTGCTTAGCAGGGCAGTTCTGGCTTCATGTATCTCCAGGTTAAAACTTAAGACAAGGTTTCCCACAGGGTGGGTAATCCAAGAAAGAGAGAAAGAATGAGCAATAGAGTGACCGACATGGAAGTCACCATGTTTGTTTGTTATTTTAATAATCTCATCTCAGAGGGGACATGTCATCACTTCTGCTGTATGTCACACAGACCAATTCTGGTACAATATGGGAAAGGACAACGCAAGGGTGTAAATACCAAAGGGAAAGATTCTTGGGGGTACGTTGGAAGCTGGCTACCACAGATATATGTTATTTGGCACATAAAAGTTCACAGTTATAGCATCATCAATTTGGCTGTGTACTGTTTCACACTTTTGCATTTTTTGTAAGATCACCATCACTAACGGTTATGAGGCGAATTATGTTTCCTCCAAAATCCATACTTGAAACTCTCAATCTGCAGCACCTCAGAATGTGATGCTCTTTGGAGATAAAGTCTTTAAAGAGGTGATTAAGTTAAAATGAGGCCATTAGGATGGGGCCCCAGTCTAGTCTGACTGATATACTTAGAAGAGGAACAGACCCCAGGAAGGGCATGCACAGAGGGAGAATCGTGTGAAAAGACATCAAGAGGGCCGCCATTTGGAAGCCATGGGGAAGACCTCAGAGGAAACCAACCCTGCTGACACCTTGGCCTTAAACTTCTAGCCTCCACAACTGTGAGAAAATAAATTCCTATTGTTTAGCCAACCAATCTGTGGTGTTTTGTTATGACAGCCCAAGTAGACTAAAACACCAACCTTCTGAAAGACATCTGAAAGTATCTTGCTGTTGCCCAATCTGTACTTTTTTTAAAAATCATTTTTGTTTTGATGTATATAAGTATACATCAACATATACAATTAGATTTTTCTATATAAAATGTATATAATTAGATTTATTTCTAAACTAAACATCTATGCTTTCATTAGGAGAACTAAAACTCATTCATTTTATAGGCCATTTTAAATCTAATGCTCTAATCTAAAGGCGGATGCTGGAGGGATTTAAGGCTCTTTATAATGGAAATGTATGAGAAGATGCCTCTCCCATGATTTTTTTGTGGACTGAATTTAGGGATCATGTTGTAATGGAAAAGGTGTTTTCAAGGAATTACCAGATCAGTGCAGTTGAAGACCAAATTGTTAATCTTTTGGGGCCAGAGACAGAGGACTTGCACTTAGCCAAATCAGACAAGAGTCAAGGGGATGTCACAATGATCAGGAAGCAGATTTCAAGAAGCAATCCCGGAGAAATTCTCAAACCAAGGAGCCCTCTTAAAACAGCCCTCTCGCATGATGCAGGCAGAGCAAAAAAAAAAAAAAAAAAAAAGAAAGAGCAGTGCTGGGGAATCTTTAAGGACCCTAAGAACATGCTTTCTAATTTGTTCCTTGCTCTGCCTCTGATTACACAAGCTTCTGGTCGTTTATTTATCTTTGCTGTGTCTTCTGTAGCGATTTGGATAACAGGCATCCTGTGTTTGGTACTCATATTAACTTTCAATGTAATGAGACGTATCTTAACCTAGGTTCCTTTAATGATCAAAGTCAGAACAAAACAGTGTCTTTTGCCTACCCTGCAATTAAAGTAAGAGATTGAGCATGTTTTTACTCTAGCTTCTATCTCACCTTAAAATATATTATAAACCCAATCTATTTAGAGTAGAACCAGTGAGTCAAATTTTTTTAATTCATGTTTTTCCCCTAAACACATTTTTAGATTCTGAACTTTGCAACTATTTTTTTTTAATTTTTTTAAATGTTTCTTGTATTTTTGAGAGAGACAGAGTACAAGAAGGGGGAGGGGCAGAGAGTGAGGGGTACAGAGGATCTGAAGCGGGCTCTGTGCTGTCAGTACAGAGCCCATTGTGGAGCTTTAACTTGGGAACAGCGAGATCATGACCTGAGCCGAAGTCAGGCACTTAACCGACTGAACCACCCAGGCACCCCTGAACTTTGTAACTAGTTTTAAAAAAACACCTACTTATTGGTTGGATTTAGGGGGACCACAAATCCTTTTATATCTTGGCCTCCTTATGTTGGAGCTATTAATTTTGATTTTTTTTAATGTCCTATAGAGCATGTCTTTGAATAATTTTAAGAAAGGCCAAATGAGTAAAATTGTTCTTTTTAAAATTTTTTAATGTTTGCTTTTGAGAGAGAGAGAGAGAGAGAGAGAGAGAGAGAGAGCATGAGCAGGAGAGGGGCAGAGAGAGAGGGAGACACAAAACTCAAAGTGGGCTCCAGACTCTGTGCTGTCAGCACAGAGCGCGAACTCACGAACTATGAGATCGTGACCTGAGCTGAAGTCGGACGCTCAGCTGACTGAGCCACTCAGGCGCTCCCAATGGTTATTTTTTAAATATATCCGATGTACATTTTTCCCCCAGAGAACAATGTGTCCATTTAACACAGAGACCATGATTTTTCAATTCCAATAAGGGCTAAAAATTATTCCAGTCATCAACTTCGGTGGCAGCCAAATGATGGCTTGCGGGCAGAATTTGAAAAGTCAACACAAAAGGGTTCAACAGCAGCATCAGGGCCTCAGAGCAAGCGGGGCTTTCAGGGCAGACAAATGCCCTGTAGGAACTCCAGCCACTTCCAGAAGCTTCTAATTACCCTGACTCATCCTCTACTACATTTAGCAGATAGTTCACCAGCAAGAATATGCCTTAAACACATGTCAGAAGGAAAAAAAGAAACACACACACACACACACACACACACACACAACACGTATCTTTACCTTGTAATGAATTCTGGCCACCAAACTCCGGCGAAGAGCCCTTTCGCGAAAATTCACTGCTTTCAACAGAAAGGCGAGATTACCGACTGTGTCCACATCAAATGCCAAGAAACTGACGGAAAAACACAGTGACCATTATTATTATTTTGTCCTCACCAAAGAATTCAATTTGAGAAAAACAGACAGGGTTTTTTCTGTCAAAAATAAATTTTTTTTTTCCAATAGAAAAGTAGTGTAAGTACAGTTGAGCCCCCTTCACGTCTCTCACTCGCTGTATTCATGCTTCTTTCGATATTCTGATGGGTACCTGCCTCTAGTTTATCCTATGTGGTTGTCCTTATGGTGTAAAGATAATATGGCTTCCTGCTTCTTTTCACTTACTATTGTATTAGAGATAGTTAGTCAATATTTTATATAGTCTTTCTTCATTAAGAACTATATAATTTGCATCCATTGGGTTTATGATAATTTTCTCAACCATTGTTGGGCATTTGTTCTAATGATTACAAGTGACTATTGCTCATCAAATACATCTGTCACAAAGTATTTGTCAAAGGCTAACATTTCTTAAACACATAATGTATCAGGACCTGTGCTAATTACCGCTGTGAATTATTCAACAATCTCAAAATTTCTACGATGCAGATAGTATAATTATTCAATGTATAGTTTGGGAAACTGAGGCTCAGCAAGTTTCAGCAACCTGCTCAAGGTCACATGGGCAGAACACGCTCAGGCTCACGTTTTGTCTTAGGGAACACTTGTATTTGAGGAAAGAGGAGGCCAAGAGGTCAGTGAGCGGGCTGTGGGCAAGTGTAGGGTAGAGTGTCCTGCAGAGATAATGACTCTCTTCAGCAGGTAGTCATTTCTATCTTCCCTATCTGGCAATGAGGAAACTGAGGCACAGGGGAGGTAAGAGACTTTGGCACAAAGAGACTCAAAACACCTGTCTCCCTTAAAGCCCTGCAGGCTTTTCATGTGGCTCTGCCTTTTGTGCTAATTTTGCACCCTCCCATCCTCTGTCCCATGAAACTTCTGTCTTTGGAACTTGGACAGACAGTGAAGGGCTTAATTCACACTTACGGCTTCCCATAACTTAGCCACACCTTTGTGGCCCCCTCGCCCCATATTCTTGGAAAATAAGTTGTCATAAGACCCAAATAATTTAGAGTTTCATTAATTAAAATTAAACCCACAAGTAGCTGTTGTTGCTTAATCAGAAGCCATAAGAGAAACATTAAGAAGCAATTGATACAGTGCTTTTGAGAATGCCAAGCACTGAATTAATAATTTCCCTCCATGTAGACAGGAAAGATGGGAGGTCATTTTCATGCCAATTATCAGGAAATTTAACTTGTATCAATACTTATTCTGAATCTGGTCATTAGAAAGTTGAGCTTCTGTCCTAGTTTACTTAACAAAAAGTGAAAGAACTCTCACATTGTATTGAAAAGTATGTTTCAGTCATTCTAGAGACTTACTATGAAGCCTAGAGACTGTGAATTTTGTTATTAGAACCTATCTTTTTTGTAATGTTTACTGTGGAATACTATCCACTTGAGGTTGTGAACTACATGTGCTACAGGATGTGGATCTCATCCACCTGCCCTATCATGAGTCACATGCCAAGCACAACCACACCACATAGCTTTAGGAACTCACCCAGCATAAAAAGCTGTGAAGACTCTTAAAATTAGGGATATCGCTAAAGGCAACCTCCTTGTATTTTATAAGAAGGTCAAAATGACTCTAAATTTAAGTTAAATTTGAATGCACATCATCAGTCATCAAGGAAATGCAAATGAATACCACAGCGAGGTAGCATTATATGTCCACCAGAATGGCTATAATTAAAATACTGACATCATCAAATGTTGACAAGGATATGGAGCAACCAGAACTCTCATACTTGTTGATGAGGTGTAGAATGGCTAACCACTTTGGAAAAAGTTCTCACAGTTTCTCATAAAACTAAAGAAACACATACTCTATGACCCAGCAATTCTACTCCTACTATTTACCTAAGAGAAATAAAAACATATCTTCACAAAAAGGCTTGCATATGAATATTCACAGCAGAGCTACTCAGAAGAATGAAAAATTCAAAACATCCCATGTGTCTCTCCATCAATAAGAAAATGGAAAGCAAATCCTAGTATATGCGTAAAATAGAATACTACTCAGCAGTAAAAAGGAACAAGCTAGAACACATGACAACATGAATGAATCTCAGAAAGCATTATGTCATGTTAGTAAGCCAGCCACAAAAAATACATACCGTATGGTTCCACTTATACGAAATTCTAAAACAGGATAAACTAATCTGTGGTAGAAAAATATCAGATTAGTGGCTGCATCTGGGGAGGTGGTCACAGGAAATGACTGAAAAGGGACGTAAGAGAACTTTCTGGAGTGGTGCTAGTGACCTATTACTTAACAAGAGTTATACAGGTATATATCTGCATTTGTCAAAATTCAGTTAATGCACAGTTAAGATTTGTGCATTTCACTGTATGTAAGTTCTACAAAGGAAGAAAAAAACTGTAATCAAATTTTGAACTCTAGTGAATAATGTTCATGCTGAATCATTTAGAAGTATGCTGATGCCAGCTGTTTAGTTTGACATGCATCAGGGGAAAAAAGATGAATTGATAAGTGCGCTGAGGAATTGATACATGGATATACATGTGATATAACAAGCACAGTACCATGTTAATAGTAGAATCTATATGGTGGGTTTATGAATGTTCACTACACGTCTTTCAATTTGGTCAATACTTGAAAATGTTCATAATACAACATGGTAAAACTTTTCAGCATAATGCAGAACTTCAACTTCCTCAGCTCCCACACCTCCTAAGGATCCATGGGGGTGATGAGGGCAGCCAGAGCTCCGCTGGCAGCTCCAGGGAGAGAGGGAGAGGCAGTCCCAGGGGGAGGGGAGAGGCAGCATTCATCAGGACAAGGGGACAGAACTCAGCTGTTTGCATAACCAGCTATAGCCACTCTCAGAGCCACGCCCTGCCTCCCTCACCTAGTCTCTGGAGACTAATTCCTCCCACAGTCCAGATGAATGGGTAGCTTCTGAGTGTCCACACAAATGACTGCCTACTTGGAGGCATTTCGGGGCACCCGGAAGTCCTCAGCCCATCCTTCTTCATGCCCCCGCCTGCTTGTGGGTACATCTCTCATGAGTTGTCAATAGGACCGCCATCTGATTGTAGGTTCCATGAAGGCTGAGAACCCACAGTCACTGCTGCATCACCGACGCTGACAGAAGTGCCCAGGGCACTGAAAACATGTTGGACCATAAAGGCTTTTCTCAAGATACATAAAAACCAGAGCAAGGTTTGGGGAATGTAAGTAGATAAACAGACTGAATCAGTAAAACCTGGATGTGTGCGACAGAGATGTATACTGTTTTAGAGGTTAATGAGCGAGACAAAAATAAATGGACTGGAACTTTCCAAATATTTACAAGTGGAATACTGCCTTTGGCACATCTCAAGTCTATCGCGGAAAATTTGCCATGAATATAAATTTGCATAGGGGTGAGGGTCTGCTGTGCCTTCAAAATGATGGAAACGAGCCCTGCTCTGCTATGTGGAAAAGAAACGCAAGGGCAGATGAGGCGCTGTCAGTTTGGGAACAAGTTTCCTGAACGAATGGAGCTGATCCCGATGGGAGTTGTACTGTTCTTTCAACTCCTTATATGTTGGATAATTTTCAAACTGAAGAATTGTGGGGGGGGGGGGGAAGCTAACAGTACTATCCATTGCCCACTCAGGGCTAGAAATATTAAAAAGACGCAGTGGCTTTACAGAATGTGCAAGGACAAATTGAGACATTACAACTAATAACGAGTTAAGTGAAACAGTCCTAGAATATGGGACCTGATGTTTTCAAGCTTTAAGATAGATTAGAGTTTGAAAAAACAGGAACGTGACCAGTATGAAGGAAGGAAGGAAGGAAGGAAGGAAGGAAGGAAGGAAGGAAAGAGAGGGAGAAAGAAAGGGAGAAAGAAAGGGAGAGAGAAAAAAGAAAAAAAAGGACAGATTACATATTTCTTAATTTCACTTTATGCTAATAGACATGAAAGTGCCACACACTATTATTTATTGTGTTTCCCATGTTTTATTTATTTTTATTTTTTTTTGAGAGAGAGAGAGAGAGAGAGAGAGAGACAGAGTGTGAGCAGGAGAGGGGCAGACAGGGAAGGAGTCACAGAATCTGAAGCAGGCTCCAGGCTCCAAGCTGTCAGCACAGAGCCCGATGCAGGGCTCGAACTCATGAACTGTGAGATCATGACCTGAGCTGAAGTTGGACACTTAATCAACTGAGCCATCCAGGCACCTGTTTCCCATGTTTTAAATCAGGGTGATAAAATGACATTTTCTTTTCTTTTGAAGTTTATTTATTTTGAGAGAAAGAGAGAGAGAACATATGCGAGTGAGTACAGGGCGGGGGTTGGGGGGGGCACAGAGAGAGGGAGAGAGAGTCCCAAGCAGGATCTATGCTATCAGTACAGAGCCCGATATGTGGCTCAATCCCATGAATCATGAGATCATGACATACCCAAAATAAAGAGTTCGATGCTTAACCTACTGAGCCACCCAGACACCCCTAAATGACATTTTAAAATAAATAGTTTCCTTGGAAATTAGTTCAACACATTTTAGTTATGGAGACCAATAATCTTCCTCCAAATAAAAATAACAATTTAAAAAGCGCACAAAAGGGGCGCCTGGGTGGCGCAGTCGGTTAAGCATCCGACTTCAGCCAGGTCACGATCTCGCGGTCCGTGAGTTCGAGCCCCGCGTCGGGCTCTGGGCTGATGGCTCAGAGCCTGGAGCCTGTTTCTGATTCTGTGTCTCCCTCTCTCTCTGCCCCTCCCCCGTTCATGCTCTGTCTCTCTCTGTCCCAAAAATAAATAAAAAACGTTGAAAAAAAAATTAAAAAAAAAAGCGCACAAAAGTTGAAAAGCACAATAAACTCCTCAAAAGTAGGAAACAAAACATTTATGAGCATAGATCAATGAAATAAAAAACAAAGTTACCGCAGAGAGGATCAACAAAGAGGAAAGTTGGTTGTTTAAAATAGCAACAACAACAACAAACAACCATCTGGTAAGATTAAGCAACAAAAAAGGAGAGAGAAAGCACATGACATTAATTCTAGGAGTGACAAATGGGACATAACTACAGATCTAGCAGAAGTTAAAAGGATAATCAGTGAGCAGTATGAAAAACCTTATACAAATAAATTCAAATCTAAGTGGATAAATTCTTAGAAAATATTATTTATGAAAACTGACACGAGAAGAGGAAGCCTAAATGGTCTTAAAACAATTAAATTACACTTGATGCTGGAACAACATGAGGGTCGGGACCCTGACCCCTGTGCACTCGAAAATCTGCGTATAACTTCTGACTCACCCAAAACTTAACTCCTCATAGCCTACTGTTGTCTGGAGGCTTTACCAATAACAAAAATGATCAATTAACACATATTTTGTATGCTACATGTATTATATACTATATTCTTATAGTACAGTAAACTAGAGAAAAGAAAATGTTATTAAGAAAATCATAAGGGAGGGGCGCCTGGGTGGCTCAGTTGGTTGAGCGTCCGACTTCGGCTCAGGTCATGATCTCACAGTCCGCGAGTTCCAGCCCTAGGTTGGCTCTAGGTTGACAGCTCAGAGCCTGGAGCCTGCTTCAGAGTCTGTCTTCCTCTCTCTGCCACTCTTGTACTTGCAATCTGTCATTCTCTCTCTCAAAAATAAAGAAACATTTTTAAAAAAGGGGAAAAAAAAGGAAATCATAAGGGAGAGAAAATACATTTACAGTACTGTATTGTGTTTATCAAAGAAAGTCTGCATGTAAGTGGCCCTTTGTAGTTCAAACCCGTTTTGTTCAAGGGTCAACTATAATTGAATTAGTAGTGTAAATATTCCCCCAGGCCCAGATAGTTTTCAAATAGCTTATCAAATTCTCCCACAAAATAAGAAACTACTCCCAAAATAGCTTTACGAAACCAGTAAAACTTGACATGAATTCAAATCAGGGAACTACAAGAAAGGAAGACAGTAGGCCGATAAGTAAACAAAAACCCTAAAACAACACTAGCAAGCCAAACTCAGGAAAATATTAAAACAACGATGCAGCATAGCAAAAGTGAATGTTTCTCAAGCATCCAAGAGTAGTTTAACATTAAAAGATTTATGAGGCTTATTTATCACATTAACAAGTTAAGGAAGAAATAGATCATTTCAATAAATGCAAAAAAATCATTTGCAGTAAAATCAATAAAATTTGTCACCTACTAATGACAAAAAATGTATTAGAAATAACAGTAAGTGGAGCTTCTTAGGAAGCAAACTGTATCTATCAAAAGCTTCAGCAAATATCCTTCTTAATAGTGAAACGTTAAGCTAAGTCTTTTTAAAACCAGGAATAAGACAAAAGAACACCTTCTACATGAAAAAGAATAAAAGGAATAAAAAGTGGAAAGAAAGGCATAAAAAGTCATCATTTGCAAATGGTGTGCTTGTCTGTGTTAAAAAAACACTCAAAGAATCTATAGACCCAGAAGAAATATTTTTTATGATCAGGTTTATAGACAAAAGTCAACTGCACTTATAATAAATGGGCAACAAAAAAACATAACTTCAAAACTATTCTTTTTACAATAACAAAATCATAAAGTACCTAGTAATCTATCAAAGAATGTACTATGTATGGAAAAAATTATAAATTTCTGGAAAACACTTAGGAAACGAAAATCTTTGAGACGAGGGTCAGTTTTACAAATACGTCAATTTTTTTGCAAAGCTATAAGACAAAACACTTTCAAAGAAAATTACAGCAGATTTTTAAAAATTGTGGTAAGATATACATCACATAAAATCAATCATTTTAACCCTACACAAGAGTACAGTTCAGTGGCATTAAGTACATTCACAATGGTGCACAACCCTTACCACCATCCCTCTCCAGAACTTTTTCATCATCACAAATTGAAATTCTGTACCCACTCAATAATAACACCCATTCTCTCCTCCTCCCAGCCCTTGTAACCATGTTCTACTTCCTGTATCTATGAATCTGACTACCCTAGATGCCTCATAAAACCACAGTCATAGAATATTTTCCTTTTGTGTCTGCAGGTTTTTGTTTTTTGTTTCTCTCTCTCTCTCTCTCTCTCTCTTTTTTTTTTTTTTTGAGAAATGTAACAAACTGATTCCAAAACTTGTATGAAAGGGCAAAAGTCAACACAACTCTGAATTATATTAAAACAATTTTTTTTTAATGTTTATTTATTTTTGAGAGAGAGAGAGAGAGAGAGAGAGAGAGAGAGAGATAGACAGGGTGAGCAGGAGAGGGGCAGAGAGAGAGGAAGACAGAATCCAAAGCAGGCTCCAGGCTCTGAGCTGTCAGCACAGAGGCTGACATGGGGCTTGAACCCATGAACCGGAGGTCATGTCCTGAGCCGAAGTCAGATGCTTAACTGACTGAACCACCCAGGTGCCCCCTCTGAATTATATTTTAGATACAATAATATAAGGTTATAATTACAAATCTAGTATAATTGCAACAATGTATTGTATTGTTGGATTAGGATACACAAACAGACTAGGAACGAAGCACCACCAGAATGGCCTCCCACATGTGTAGAAATCTATATGAATGCCAGAGCAGGCACTGAAGATCACTAGTAAAAGATAGTCAATTAGGTAAGTGGTGCTGGAACAACAGACAATCCCTACAGGAGGCAAAAAAATGAAGTTAGATCCCTTCCTCACACTACAGGCATAAACCTCTAATGGACTCGAGAATTAAATGTGGAAGGTGAAACGCTCAAACCGGTATTTCATGATCTCAAAGTAGACAAGATGCACAGAGTGTGGAATATAAAAGATTGATAAATTCAATAGTAATTTAAGAATTTATGTTAAAAGGCACCATAAAGAAAATATAAGACAAGGCACAAACTTGGAGGAGGTAGTTGTAACATCTGTAACAACAAAGGATAAAAAACAAAAACAACAACAACAACAACAACAAAACTCAGTAAGAATTAAAAAAAAAGAAAGAAAAAGAAAGATTGGCAAAACACATGGACAGGCATTTCACATGAGAGGAAATAAAAGTGGCAAATACACTTGTGAAAGCATGCTCAACTTTAATTAACAGTAATAAGGAAAATGCAATTTAAAGTCACAGTGAGAGATCTTTGCGTGTGTGTGTGTGTGTGTGTGTGTATTAAGGCTGATTAAGACTGATAATCCCACATGTTGGTGAGGATGGTTCCACAGGACACATGCTTCCGGTGAAGGTATACATCTGCAAAATGACTCTGAAAAATAATTTGTTCTGATCTAGTGAACTTGAACACTGGTATACCCCCCACAACACAGCACTTTCACTCCTATGTACTACTGAGGAGTGTTTTTCAAACAACGGATTGCACATCTCTAATTGGTTGTGAAATCAGTTTAAAGGATTGAGGTCAGTATTTTTAAACAATAAAATTGAAAACTATCAGAGATCATTACGAGTAACAGGAGAAGCAAGGTTTCATGAGATGTTTGCTTTGGTGCTGTCTGATTCGGGGTGTGTGTGGAGTGGGGAGCTCTATGGATGTGTGGGCGTCAGTGGTTGATGTAAAATTTATTTCTTATTCTGAGTCACAGCAACTAAATTTGAAGGCCCTGTAGAAACCCTTATACATATTACCCAGAAAACGTGCAAGATTTTTCACGGGAGCTTTGTGCAAAATATCAAAAGCACAACCCTCATGCCCACTGATGTTGGTTATTAGAATGGCTACGTAGATGGGGACATATACACATGATTAAATATTATAAACAAAGAGAACAGTTCTTCATCCACACACATAACAGCTGAGATGAATCTTAGACACAAAATAGAGTGAAAACAGGAAGCTACAGAATACCACATATGCTACCCCTTACTTATCAAGCTTAAAGACAACACTAAAAAAATCAATAAAAACAAGCAAAAGCATGGATCCTGAAGCCAAACCACCTGCATTCAAATCCTAGCTCTGTCACTCCCTAGCAAGTAACCATGGGCAAAATAACCTCTATGCCTCAGTTTCCTCATCTGTGAAATGGAAACAGTAACTTACCTCATGGGGGTACTTAGGCTTAAAATCTCTGAAGTGCTGGGAACAGTGGACACACAACGAAGGAGGCACAGGAGGAGAAAGAACAGAATTAACGGTGTTCTGGTTCTCAAGTTGGGGAGTGGGTGAACGAGCACTGATGCTACCACAATCGTGCATTGCTCGTCCGTATGGAATATTAAAAATTTCAACAAGAGTGGTTGTGCCACGACGAGGCTCCATGCACTCAGGCTCGATAGTAAGACACTGGGGGCCAAGGACGGTCACAGCCTGAGCAGTCACGTACCTGGTTCTCAGCTTGTCACTCCCAGACTCAGCCCAGTCTCGGAAGAAGGGGGAGAGTGGCTTCTCTTGATGCTGTTTGGTATATCGAGCCAGCAGTTCCCGCACCACAACGTATGCAGACAGTTTATCACTTGTCAGTCATTTGTCAAGAATGTAAAGAGGTGCTAGGGTGTCTTTAAATGCTGGAGCCAGAGAAGGGCTAGTTGCTTCTAGCAAACTCCTTGAAAGGAATCAAATGCAAACCCTATCCTTCCGGAGGTCTCTGTCTCCCATGGCCAATGTGTGGTGCTTACGTTCCACTGTCCATCCCTCCCCTATGGCCAACTTGCCTAACTGGCTAACTACCTACTGCTCTCTCGCCCACCTGAGACATCAGCCTTTAATGCCAGTCCTGGGACCAAGCAGTTGAGTCGACACTTCAAATAAAACCTACTTGCCTTCCCTGAACCAGACAGACGGATGGTCTATTTTCTTTTTTGCCTCTAATATTCTATGGCTGATGAGGCCTTTCGGGAATAGTATTAAAATGTACCCATAAAACAAGCTCCATCAATCCTCTCCCTCGGCAGCTTGAAAGTTATAAGTTGGCCCTAACATACCGCATGCTTTTCCAGTTTTGTTAAAAAAAAAAAAAATGATGTCCGTGTCTAGCCTGCTACAGATAGAGGTGCACCCAACAGTCGGCAGCAACTGCTAGATGTGTTGGTGAGACCACCTTGGACCAACCTGCCTGCCAAGCTTCTAGCTGACTGCCATAGGGTGAGTGGGGCCAGGCCAGGCCAGCAGAAGAACGACACCATATGACCCCAACCCAGACCAAATTGCTGACCCACAGAACCAGGAGCTAACAATTGTGTGCTGTTTTAAGTTACTCAATTTGGGGGGCGCCTGGGTGGCTCAGTGGGTGAAGTGTCTGACTTTGGTTCAGGTCATGATCTCACGGCTTGGGGTTTGAGCCCCACATCTGGCTCTGTGTTGACAGCTCAGAGCCTGGAGCCTGGTTCTGAGTCTGTGTCTCCCTCCCTTCCTCCCTCCCTCTCTCTCTCTCTCTCTCTGTACCCTCACAGGTTGTGCTCTGTCTCTGTCAAAAATAAATAAGTAAATAAACATAAAAAAAAAATAAGTTACTCAATTTTGGGATGATTCGTTAGGTAGCAATTTATAGGTGATTCAATCACATACAGAACTACCTTTAGAATATTTCCTTCTTTCAGCCGTACCAATCTCTTACTCGACACATCCCCAAAGGCAAGGGAATTAAAAGCAAAAATGAATTACTGGGACCTTATGAAGATAAAAAGCTTCTGCACAGCAAAGGAAACAATCAACAAAACTAAAAGGCAACCAACGGAATGGGAAAAGATATTTGCAAATGACATATCGGACAAAGGGCTAGTATCCAAAATCTATAAAGAGCTCACCAAACTCCACACCCGAAAAACAAATAGCCCAGTGAAGAAATGGGCAGAAAACACAAATAGACACTTCTCTAAAGAAGACATCCGGATGGCCAACAGGCACATGAAAAGATGCTCAACGTCACTCCTTATCAGGGAAATACAAATCAAGACCACACTCAGATATCACCTCACGCCAGTCAGAGTGGCCAAAATGAACAAATCAGGAGACTATAGATGCTGGAGAGGATGTGGAGAAACGGGAACCCTCTTGCACTGTTGGTGGGAATGCAAATTGGTGCAGCCACTCTGGAAAGCAGTGTGGAGGTTCCTCAGAAAATTAAAAATAGACCTACCCTATGACCCAGCAATAGCACTGCTAGGAATTTACCCAAGGGATACAGGAGTACTGAAGCATAGGGGCACTTGTACCCCAATGTTTATAGCAGCACTCTCAACAATAGCCAAATTATGGAAAGAGCCTAAATGTCCATCAACTGATGAATAGATAAGGAAATTGTGGTTTATATACATAATGGAGTACTACATGGCAATGAGAAAGAACGAAATATGGCCCTTTGTAGCAACGTGGATGGAACTGGAGAGTGTGATGCTAAGTGAAATAAGCCATACAGAGAAAGACAGATACCATATGGTTTCACTCTTATGTGGATCCTGAGAAACTTAACAGAAACCCATGGAGGAGGGGAAGGAAAAAAAAAAAGAGGTTAGAGTGGGAGAGAGCCAAAGCATAAGAGACTCTTAAAAACTGAGAACAAACTGAGGGTTGATGGGGGGTGGGAGGGAGGGGAGGGTGGGGGATGGGTATTGAGGAGGGCACCTTTTGGGATGAGCACTGGGTGTTGTATGGAAACCAATTTGACGATAAATTTCATATACTGAAAAAAATAAAATAAAATAAATTAAAAAAAGAATATTTCCTTCTTTGTTTCAGATACATTTATGTTTCTATAGAGATTATATAAAATGTTGTATATACTTTCAGTCAACAGTATATCTTAAGTGATATTTTTGGTTCACACTGCTGTCTCTGATCCTAATTATCTGTTTAATGGCTGTGCAATATTTTTTGTTTGGAACCATCACAGCTAATTAAAGATTCCTATTCACTTAGTTAGATTGTTTCCAATTTTATACTGTCATTAATTTCATATCAGTATATTCAGACGAATAGCATTCATTGTCCCTTTTTTGTTGTTGTTACTACCTGAGAATAAATCACGTGACCTCATGTGATGCAAAGATCCTTATAAAGGACCACCCGGCCTATAAGAAAGATGCTAGAAACTTGTCAAGGCAGATCTGCCTAGGGGAGCTTTATTGGCAGTGCTGGGCAGAGCCAGTCATGCAATTATTCATGGGCTCGTCTTAACCAGCAGGGGATCGTGCCACATCCAGGGTCCTGTCAAAACCCATGTGGTCAAACCCATGCAGCCAATTGATAGCCCAGAGCCTAACTCATTTATACCAAAGCTTTCAGGTTCTTCCCATCCCAGGCCCATGGAAGGACTAAAGTCCCTTGCTCTCTGAAGTTAGGGGTGGCCACAGAACTTGCTTCAGGCCAGTGACGTGCAAGCTGGTCGATGTTCCCAGTTGTGACACGTCCCTATCCCTGGGCTTCGGTCTCTGCTGGAGGCTGCCATGGTAATCCCTTGCATTGGCTTCCAGACATTGTCTTACTGTGTTGTTATGTTTATTACAAATTCCTTTTGTTTCTTTGAAATATTGTCTTGAATTATTGAGATTATATCTCCAGATAAGTTATAGTATCCATGATTTCATTTCAGGATAGTAGAGGGGGTATTACAAAATATTGTTTACAAAAAAGAGGGCATTAGGTCCAATACATTTAAGAATCACAGTACTGTAGGGGCACCTGGGTGGCTCAGTCGGTTGAGCGTCCGACTTCAGCTCAGGTCACCATCTCGCGGTCCGTGAGTTCGAGCCCTGCGTCGGGCTCTGGGGTGATGGCTCAGAGCCTGGAGCCTGCTTCCGATTCTGTGTCTCCCTCTCTCTCTGCCCCTCCCCCGTTCATGCTCTGTCTCTCTCTGTCTCAAAAATAAATAAACGTTAAAAAAAATTAAAAAAAAAAAAAGACTCACAGTACTGTATTATGGGTCAAAGGACATGAACATTTTTATGTCCGCTGCTATACAAAACAAGTGTAAACATCAAAACACTCCCAGCAATGGGAAAAATGGGAGGGGAGAAATTAACTAACTTTAACTAGAATTCAAATTATACAGTGATCAAGTTTGCTTTCACTGACACTTCGCTAGGATTAAGTGTACATTCTTTGTTTTTGCTAATCTATTAAATTTATGATGGCTATAATTCCACATCCCTTGTGTTACAAGAGCAACATCATTCCAAGCATTAAAAATTCCTTTCTCTGATTTCCACCCTTCTGTATCTTTACCTTCCTCTATTTTCCTTCATAGCAGTAATTGCTGCCTGATGATAAAGAGCAAAGCAACTTGTTTCTTGGCTTCTTATCTTTTTACTGCCTGTAAGGTAAATGCCAGGTCACAGTTGGTTCATTCTTATGTCGTCAGACAACGGGCAACACGGAATGGAAAGCGGAAGGATCTTTCTTGAATGAATGAATAAATAAATCAATCCCCTTCCTGTTTTCAATATCTCATCCAACCTGCTCCATTCCTTAATCATTTCCTTTCCTTTTTGTCACTACTTCCACCTTTCGGATTTAAGCAACTTAAATTGGAAAAAAATAACTCACCTGGGCTAGAATTAAAATTAGAATGATACAGTAATCCAGCTCAGGGGCTAAACTTAAGAGAAAAAAAAAAAAAACAGACAAGTTGGGCGCTGGCAGATCGGTCATTTTGGATCTTTGCTCCCTTTTCTTTCCCTTTTGTTCCTGGCTCTTGGCTTCTTTCCTCCTTTTTTAGGTCACGAGACAAGAAAATATGATGTAAAAACAAGTTTATTTCCTGCTGTTGATACCCCTTGTTGAGAGATTAAATGACTAAAGCTATCAGCTACCATGCTGTTTGGGCATTACAGTCTCTAACTCCAACACTTTATTTGATAAATGACCAGAGAGGCAAAGAAATCAGTCACCATTTTGACTGGGCATGCCATGAAGATGTGCTTGTTTTCACTCATAGATGTGCTCCTAAATACATTATAATATGCTATGGTGTGTGTGTGTGTGTGTGTGTGTGTGTGTGTGTGTGTATGTACACATACATATACACATATTTTAACTTCCTATTTTAAAATAATTATAGACCCACAAAAAGTTGAAAACCTAACATAGTACAGAGAGGTTTTATGTGGTCATCACTCAGATTCCTCCCAAAGTGATATCTTTCACAGTAATAATGACTACCCCAAATCAGGAAATTCAATATAGTTTTTATACATTGACTATCTTAGTTATAGTAGAGATTTCATTATTTAAAAATGAACCCAGGGAACCTCAGTCGGTTAAGCATCTGACTCTTGATTTCAACTCAGGTCATGATCTCATGGTTCAGTTCATGAGTTCAAGTCCCACGCTGGGCTCTGCACTGTCAGTGCTTGGGATTCTCCCTCTCTCCCTCTCTGTGGCCCTTCCCCTTTTGCACTCCCCCCCCCCCCCGTCTCAAAATAAATAAACTTTAAAAAAGAAAAAGAAAAATGAACCCAGTAGTAGATCATTTTGGGAAGTGAAATATTATCTTGTAA